GCTACAGCGGACCGCCGGGGGCAGAGCAGATGGGGTGCTGCTGGGTTGGTCCAGTAGTGCCGAGGAGCGGTGCTGTGGGACCAACCGGCAGCACCCCAGCTGCTTTCCCCCAGCCGTCCTGATCCAGCCGCTGCTGAAACTGACCAACGCTGACTACAGGAAGCCCGAGGCAGAGTTGCTCTGCCCCGGGCTTCCTGGAATCAGCCGCTGATCAGTTTCAGCAGCGGCTGAATCTGGATGCCAGTTCCGACTTACATACAGACTCAACTTAAGAACAAACCTACAGTCCCTATCTTGTACGTAACCCGGGGACTGCCTGTATTTAACTAAAGGGCTTAATTGATAAAATGTTAAATGTTACATTACATTACTACATTATTAAACCTAAAATGCAAATATAAAAAGATATAAAACTCTTTAACTCCAACACGTGGGGTGGGAGGAACCACTCCAGCCCAGTGGGACTGGAGCACCCCCCACTGCTCCCTGTCTTCTGAGGCCAGGCTAGAGTGACTCTGGACCTGTCCACAGTGCACCAGGGAGTGTTTCAGACAAGGGTCTGCTTTTGACAACCCCTACATGTGGGACTCCCAGGCCCACTGTGGACAGAGACTGCTACAGATGACCGGAGCAGTCCCTGTCTGCGGCAAGCCCCCTGCAAGGCTGGGGCAGCCTCCTGCTTTCAGCAGGCAAGGAGCTGCTCCAGCTCCCACCAGTTAGTAATTAATCAGAATCTGTATGCATCACCCAGTAAGGGTGGTGCTTAGCAGTTAACCGGTTAATCTTTCACTTACCTAGTGATAATGCCCCCTTTGCAGGTGTTACATATCATCTGTAGCAGAAACATGGGGTGGGGACTGTGGTGCTCCTTCTTTTCCTTCCCCCTACTGAGTCAATTGGGGGATTTGCCTTGATTTTGGTTTCTCTCTTCTCTCAGGTCAGACAGCTGAACTCTTTGGTTAGTTAGACAGAGAGGAGTCTCCTGCTTCTGGCAGATCAGCTTTGTCACCCTGGGCTGATGTTCATGAAGATGAGCAGACTCCATCTGTTCCTGTCTGTATGGCTTCAGCATGTTTTATTTCTTTCTGAAGCATGAAGATGAAAGGCTGCTTTGCCTTTCAGGTTACTGGTTCTATAGCTCTCTGCATGGTGATGCTCTTTTCTTCTCGTGTGGAAGGGCACTTACAAAGTGTCAGGATCTTTCCTTTTGAAAAGGCATTACAGCAAATTACCACTGAATGAGTGGTTCATCTTTGTAAGTCCTGTACTCAGACATTTGGAAGAATCCAAGTAATTACAAAGGGAAAAGTATTTTCCCTACCCCCCAAAAAATACAAAATGAAAAAAAGAGGGAGAGAGAACCTGGAGAAAGTGGATCTTGGAGATGACAAAATGATCTGGATTCTGAGTGTGATTTCCACAACTTTTGACAAGTTTTATAGCTTCCATTCATCTAAAGAAGACAAGTGGCAAGGGCAAGTTTTCTTTTGTTCCTTGAGTTGATAAGGCTGTTACAGTGCTGCTAAGTAAGGAATCCTCAGTTCCTAGTGATCCTGATGTCACCAATTCAAGAGAGACTATTTAGGTTTGAAATATGAGTCTGCCCTGAAGAGAGTAATTCTCAATTCTTCCTAGTATATAGCTTCTCTAGTGAATTCAAGACTTCTTAGATTGTGATATTCTATCTCCTTTAAACTGTTATAGGCAAAAAATCTTTAGTGGTGACATTTTTGTCACTGTACCTACTTAGTCGCCAAAGTATGATGTACATCCTGGAAATGTAGAGGTTCAAAGTTATTCCCTTCTGGAGTTAGATTGCCATAGATGCACAGTGGTCAAAATTGTCCAATTAGATAGATATCTTATCTGTAAGGCCTATATAGGTTGGTTGCCTAGCTTTCTTTGTATTAGAAAAGATTTCCCCTAAAAGAATGCAAAAAAGTTAAATTTTCCTGGTCATGATTTTCCCCTCTAGCTTTCAGTTCTACTCCTATCCCCCTGTAGATTTCCTACAAGCAGGTCTGGATCTTGGTAATTGCTTGACTAGGACCTGTTGAGGATAAGACTGAGGCCCTTGTCTCACCCTGTAATTAAGAGCTTCATTGGGGGAAGCTTTTCTTATAAGGTAAGACTTATTTCTGAGATGACTTCTTTTCAGTTTCCTACATTGTCCTCAGCATTTTTAGGGATGTTTACTTTGGTTGCTAACTTTGCATATAGTAAAAGGACCTACCCAAAAGATGTGTTTGTGCGTGCCTGCAGCAGGAGGGAGGGAAGAATGCTTCAGCTTAATTGTAGTGTAGTGCTGATTACTTCACATATAAATCGCTTTCTTCTCAGTTTCATCAGAGTTCAGAATGAGAGCTGTGGCCGCTTTAAAGCGGAAACTCAAAGTGCTCCTTGCATGCTTTTTCAAGGAAATACAATTTTCATGATTTGGCCTTTAGTGTGATCATTCTCTTCCAAAAGAGTACTGGGAGCTGGAACTTAGCAACAGAAGTGTCCCCATTATGACTAAAGAGCCAATAAACCTGTTATTTCAGTGTATTATTGCAGATTTGAGAATGGATAGGAGCAGAAATATGGATTTCCTCTACTTGCAGATTCAGGTTTCTTCAAGAGTCCCATTTGGGAATATGCAACAAATCAAAACCTCTCTCTTTTGACCCAGAATTAAGTACAAGTTCGACCTCTCTGGTCTGTCACCCTCAGGACCTGACCGGTCCCAAAGAAGGGAGTTTGCCGGATCAGGGCAAGTTGGGACACCCAGCTCCACTGCCCCTCTGTGGCCCGCTCCAGGGTGCACTGGAACTCCACTGCTCAAGAATCTTAGAGGGAATCTTGCTCTGGGGCTTCTACTTTTGGTGACACACACCAAGTGAAAGTTTCAAACCAGGAGAACTTTTATCTGTTTTTACAGTTGTTTCACTTGTTCTTGTATAGCATTGATGCTAAACATTCCCCAGAGAAATTGTATAAGCCTGAATGAATGTCTTGTACTCTCCTTTCCAGTGTCAGTAAATATTGTATTTATTTGCAAGGAGAGCATGACTATTTCTAGTTGATTCATAGATTTGTTTAGCCTCTTTAAAGCTGAGCTATGTGTGGATAATATGCATTTTGGTGTATTTACTAGCTTGGATTGTTAGAAAGGATGAGAAGGGTAGTGTTAATGTTCTTATTTGATTTCATTTTAAATAAACATAGAAAGCATTGCTTCTTCTTAACTATGCCTTGTTTGAATATATATTTTCCCCACACCTATGAACTGTTTAAAATATGTATAGCTGGGTTTTTGTTTGTACTGGTGGTGCACATGCTCACACTACCTCAATATTGGTGTTGCACATACAAAAATTCAACCTGTCCAAGAGTAGAAAACATTAGAGGGAACACTGCTGCTGGGACTGTCTGGTAGACAGATTAGAGAGATTCAATCTATATTCAAATCTGTGTGTGTGTGCGCGTGTGCATGCGTTTCTGAAGATCTCAAAACACTTAAAAAAATTATGCATTATTGTCCCCATTTGGTGGGTGAGGATGTTCACTGTTGGTTTTGTTGTATTTTTAAAAAAGTGGAGTGTAAGTGTTAAGGAAAATTCTAAACTCTAAAGCCTCATACACTACAATTAAGGAGGAAGTTGTCTGGTAATTGGTTCAGTTGCCTACAGGAGAGAGCCGATATATGCTTTTTTAAAAGTTTTTGGGACATTTAATGTGAAGGGGATTGTAAATGTCTCAGTAAAAGACACATAGCACACTCCTCCAGAAATGCATTTCTACTCATTGCTGTTGCAGGCATTCTTGATGGTTGTAGAGTTGTGTGTCTGTCCTGTTAGTCATTTATTCACTTGCTTCTCTCAAACGATTTACCCCTTTACCTCCCATAAAAGCCCCCACATTCCGTTGAACAGTAGCAACAGCCATGGTATGAACTTGCTTCATTCATCATAGTGAACAACAAAGTCCAGATGGGTTATTTATATACTAACTTTTAGTAGTTAAAAGCAGTTGTTAAAAACAAACAAAAATCCTACCATGATAAAATGCTAAAAAGTTTAAATGCAGTGTTAAGGTTAAATTTGAATACAAAAGGTCTCTCTAAATGCAGTGTCTCATAGAAACAACTCATATATTTTTATTACTAGTTAAACTAGTAAACAATTGTCTAAACAGGTCCATAATATGCCATGAGGGTATAGTACTTTTAAATGAAAACTTGACTTTGTGGTTAAACATGTAATATAGACATCATTCTTTTGCATTTAAAATATTGTATTGTCCAGAAGTAGTAATAAGTCTTGTTTTGGTTCTATAGCATTACAGAATTTTGCTCACACTGTATCCATCTGATAGCATGTAATGTCAAATCTTCAAATAGATTTTTTTTTTATTTTGTAACTTACAGACAGATGCCAGCAGTAAAGCTATATTCTCAAAAGTGATGGTCATTACAAGTAAGTGTGATTAAATATTTATGGTGTTGAAAATTAAACTAGAAATAGGCTTTCTGGCTTCCAGATATTTACTTTGCATTTTATTTTTTTAATGAGGGGGATTATCAAGGTGAACGTAAAATATTACTTATAAAATAATAGTCTCAAATCACAGAGCTAGTTCATGGCACTAATATTCTTTCTCATACTTAGAGCATATCTAGGTACTGCGGTAAAATAGTCAGATGCATGTGAATGACACAACGTGTCCTTCAACATTTATAATAGCACACACAACATATTAGACGGTGGTGTTGCCTGCAGATTTAACACAGGCTTAAGTTTTCTATTGAGTGTGTGCTCCCACAACAACAGATTTTGAGCCCAAGGGACTTGTAGTTTGATGTAGATTAGTGGTTCTCAAGCAGGAATCTGGGGCCACTGAGGAGTTATGAGCAGTTTTCAGAGGGGCTGACAAATAGGGCCAGCAGTAGATTCACTGGGGCTCATGATAGAAAACTGAAGCCCCACCACATGGGACTGAACCTCAGGGTCCTGAATCCACCATTTGAGTCTGAAGCCGATAAGGTTGCCAAGTGTCTGGTATTGACCCGGACAGTCTGGTATTTTCGCCTCCTGTCTGGTTAAAAAAAAAAAAATCAGAAAATACCGGACACCTAAAACGTCCAGAATTTTCTAATTCCTTCTCTCTTCTTCTTCTCTCTCTCCCCCCCTCTCCCCCCCCCACTCCGGCTAGGAGGTGAAAATCCCTGGTGCTTACCTATTTCTGCAGGGGAGCTGTCTAGCCTGGAGCAGGGTGACAAGGTGGCGGATGACTGCCAGCAGCCTGTTAGGGTTAAAAAGTCTCAAAAGCATTTCGTAAAGGGGCCACGCAGTTTTTTCTATCTTTTTTTATTTTTTTTGCTTAGCACTCGGGGTTCTCTTCCCCCCCCCCCCAACAACAACTTTGGTCTCCCCCTTTTTTCTCAACAGAAATTTTTCCCTGGTGGCTTTTTTTGGAGGGGAGGGGTGTTTGGTATTTTGGGTTAAACCATCTGGCAACCCTAGAGCCTAAGCCCCAAGCAATTGTCCCTCTTACTACCCCTGAACTCTGGCCTTGGTTTTTATATTCAGAAAACTAGTTATTGTGGTAAAGGTAGGCCATGAAATTTTTATCAGGGAGAGGTTGGGGTGTTCTTAGAAAGGAAGAAAGTTGAGGATTCCTGGTGGAGATCACTGGCTTCTCAGGGGACTAGGACCTCTTTGGGGTATGCAAGCAGGTTTCAGGGAGTTTGCCAAGCATACCAGTATTACTTATTAGAACATAGGACAGAAAGCCAAAGCCTCACTGCATGAAGCCGTAGTATGAGGTGCTGAGCCCCACCACCACCTGGGGTTGAAGCTAAAACCTGAACAACTTAGCTGCTTCTTTGAGTAGTGTCTCTGTGGGTGTTCTGCTTAGGTGTTTGAGCCCACTGTGCTTCTAGTTGGAGAATTACAGTAACTGTGCACGTGGAGCAGCCGGTATATGCCTTAGGAGTGGCTACACCGTATGCGCATCCAACTAACCCTCCAGTTCCTTCTCTGCTGTTGTTGGCTTTAGTCAGAACTCAGTGGTCACCCTCAAAGATTAGATTCTTAGTTCTATAAGTTAGTTATCTCTTCTTAGTTCATAGTCTAATTACAGTAGTATTTTTTTGTTAAAATGAAAAACCAACTTTTTTTTTCTGCTTTAGCAGTGATCTGTTCACTGGAAATGCCTGGTTCTCCAGGTTTTAAAAGGTGTTTGACCTGCAGACTGTCAGTACCTGTTTTGGATAGCAACGGAAACACTGTGAGTGTCTTAGGTTAGGCATGCTCCATCAGACAGTGCCCTCCCTCTAAAGAAAAAAAACCTCACCCCCAGAACCAAGAGGGCCAGAGAATTGCAACTCAAGATGCTGCTCCTTGAGAAGTCTTTGTCCAGCCTCCGATCCAGAGCACACCACACCATCAAGGCAATCCTCTCCTGTAGTGGTGTCAGAGAGAGCAGCTCCCTCGGGTAGAGCTCAAAGGACTCTGTTTCAGTACAGTCTTCTAAGAAATGGTCTCACTCATCATCCAGGGGTGAGTTGCCCATGAAGACGTATGCTTGCACGCTCTCTCTCTCATATATATATATATATATTAAAAAAAATAAAAAAGGTACTGGGAAAGGCAACACATCCAGTGCTGGGATTACCCGAGGAGTGAATAACCCTACTCAGGCCAGCTCTAAGGCACCTGCTCAAGCGAAAACTAAAGTGGCTGTTGGCACTGATCAAGTCATCTAGCACCAGGAAAACCACACACTCTTGGCACCAAGTGCCTCTATGCCACAACCAGTTGCACCGTCAGTATAGGCCAAACGCTCAGGAGTGAAGGCACAGCCTGCCTTCACCAATGATGATACACCAACATGGGCACCAAACCTCCTGGTACTGTAGACTTTTACTATAAATACAGACTTCTTAGTCCCCTCTCAAGCCAGAATGCCATTATTGGGCACCGACGGCATGCCACATACCTGCTGGTTTAGGTTGTCAGCCACACCAGTTGGGTAAGCACCTTGCTTTCAAGTGATCAGGAATAAGACTCCTCCTTGTGTCTCCATACAACTAGGCTCTCCTCACCAAGACCAACACAGCAGCCACATTAGTGGCAACCCTTCAGAGGCTGCCTCTCATCAAAACCCATGTCATCCAATTGGCCTTATTGAATCTGGAACATATATTGGGCTCAGCAGCCTCAACTGCTCCCACAGCCAGCTCCATCACAAAGATCCAGGGCTTCCCTTGCACAACCAACAAATCAATAGCAGAGGAGGAGGAAGACCCTGAGATCATGGAGGAAGAAATAAAAGCTGACTCTCCAGCCCTAGCACATCTCATCTTACTCACCAGATACCACCATCATGCCCCTTACCTCTACGCTAGGTGACAATTTCAATTCTTTTTCCAGGAGCTCTATGTGGCACAGACTAGGTAGTTTGAATTAAAGCTCCTAATTCGAACTACCGTTACTCACTGCAGGAGGAGTAATGATAGTTTGTATTAGGAGCTTTAATTCGAACTACTTAGTCCGTGCTGTGTGTAGTTGCGGGAAGGTAGTTCGAACTACGGGGCATTTAGAAATGGCGGTGCCTGGGAACATGCAAATGAAGCCGGGATTTAAATATCCCGGGCTTTATTTGCAAGTTCTAATGCCTACATTAGCCACCCTAGTTCGTACTAGGGTGGCAGTGTAGACATACCCCAAGAGAGTAGCACAATCCTTGGACATCTCTCTGATGAGCTTACCAGAGACCCAGCATAGACTTACAGACGTTCATTTCTCACCTATAGCTAGGCTGGTTCTACTTATAAACCCAGAGCGTATGGACTTAGCTAAGATCATATGGCAGGCTCCAGCCATTATCCCTTCGTCCTGTATAAGGTCAGATAAGTAGTATTATGTGGCACCGCAAGCTACTTATTCTCTTATCCTACCTCTGACTCTTTAGTGATATGGGCTGTAAAGCAAAGAAAGGGGCAAACCGCAGGCTTCCTACACAATCGCATATGATAAAGACTGGAAGTGCTTAGGCCTATTTGGTAGAAAGGCATACTCATCAGCCACCCCCCAATTTATAATAGCAAACTCTGGTGCTGCTCTTGCCAAACATACACACAGCATATTTGGTCAAATGTCGTCCTTTATTGAACACTTGGTGGATAATAAGAGAACAGCTCAAGGCCAATATTAATGAGGATGTGCTTATATCCAGCACTGTGCTGCAAGATGCACTGGACTCTTCAGATACAGCAGCGTGATCTATCTGCACCACTGTAGTCACACAATGAGCATCCTGGTTACGTCTGTCTGCTTTCCCGAGAGAGGTACAGGCAACCATAGAACACTTACCATTTGAAGGATCCAAGCTCTTCTCTGAGTCCACTGATCCCTCCTTACATAGACTCCAAGGATTCATGGTCTACACTCAAGACTCTCAGCGAACATGTCCCTGTAACAAAGAAAACGGGAGAAATATTTAATTAGAGAAACAGACCAACTCCCTTCACTCAGCTGCAGAGGGAAAGCTTTTGAAGGGTTTGACGAGTGTCAGACATCCCCAGCATCTCCAAGACAGCATCCGATCACTCCCACACCATTTGGGAACTGACCAGCATCCTTTTATCCTGTGTAGAATATCATTACCACAGACAGATGGGTATGAGAGATGGTGCAGATTGTTTATTGCATCCCTTTCTCCTCCCCTTCCCTCCTACCCCGCACATCCCTCTTCAGGAACCCCTCTCATGAGATCGCTCTTATTCAGGAACTGAATCACCTCATGCAACTAGGAGCAATAGAACATGTACCTCAACAGCACCGGGGGAGGCATTTTATTCCCACTATTTTCTTACAACCAAGAAATCAAGAGGTTGGGGACCATTCTTGATCAAGACTATTCTTGATTTATGCAACCTCAACCATTTCATACGCACATCACAGATGTAAGATGGTAACTCTCACCATAGCACTCTCTGCCTTGGAGAAGGGAGACTGGCTGTCTACCCTCAACCTATAGGATACATCTTTCCACATCGTAATACTCCCTGCAGAGATGATACCTCCTATTTGCTGTTCACAAGTGGCACTTCCAATACAGAGTACTTCCTTTTGAGCTTTCCACAGCCCCTTGAGTCTTTTCCAAAGTTGTAGCAGTGGTTGCAGCACATTTCCTCAGGTTGGGAACTGTCATTTTCCCGCATCTGGATGATTGTCTCCTAAAAGGGTCATCGTATCACAAGACAGAATGAGCAGTCACCATCACCAGGGCTCTATTCAGCAAATTGGGTCTACCACTGAACTTTCAGAAGTGCACATTAATCCCCACACAGCAGTTTGAATTCACTGGGGCCCTACCTAGATTGCTCCTCAGCTACAGCAGCACTTTTGTGTGTATCATAAGGTCCACGAGTGCTAGAAACCTATCTCATCAGCACAGAATAACCCCCCGGTTATAGCAGTCTTCAACTGCAAGATGGTATGGCAGCAGGCTCTTTTGTAGTGCAACATGCTCGCCCTACACATGGGACCACTACGCACATGGCTACAAACAGTTTACAGACCTCACTATAACCATATCAACAGCTGCCTTATTATGGCCACCAAGATAAAGAAAGGAGTCCTTCTCCTGGATAGTCCAGGGCAACTCCTGCAACCGAGTGCCCTCCCATCCCATACATCCATCATGAATGCTACTCTAATTGAATAGGGAGCCCAAATCAGTCACCACACTGTCCAGTAGCACTGGTCTCAGGAGTTGTCCAAACCGCATATAAAATTCCTGGAACTCAGAGCAGTTTGTAAAGCTTTTTCCCCTTGATTCAGAACAAAACAGTACAAATATTTATGATTAGTCTCACAATATATTATATAAACTGCCAGGGTAGGGCTTGTTCTTTACCGACTGTGTTTTGAAGCAGTACAGTTATGGAATTGGTGCATTCCACACAACATTCACTTCACAGCCCTCTACTTTCCAGACAAAGACAATACTGTGGTGGATAATCTCAGCAGACATTTTGCTTTAAATCATGAATGGGAACTCAACCCCAGCATGCAAGTACCTGTGTTCAGATAGTGGGGGAACCTGACTATAGACCTATTTGCAAACAGCAACAATGCCTAACGCCCCTGCTATTGTTCCAGAGGGGGTCTCGATTCTCAGTCCTTGGAGGATGCCTTTATGATAGTGGGATGCACCACTCATGCACGTTTTTCTACTACTACTCCTTCATTGAATAATTCTCAAAATTCTACTACTCCTACTCCTTCATTGAATAATTCTCAAAATAAGAGGCCAGAGCCAGAGTCATTTTAATAGCACCAAATTGGCCCAGACAGACCTGGCTCCTATACCTCCTCCAGATGACAATAGCGCCCCCTTTACAATTTCTACCAGTTCCTCACTCCTGCAGAACGATGGATGACTGTCATCCCAATGCTCAAACACTATTGTAGAGATTATTCTCAATTTTCTTGTAGATGGTTTGTGGCAAATATTTACACAAATGGCACTGGTTTTCAGCATGGTGCGATGATCATAACATCTCTCCCTCATCAGCTCTCCCCACTTCAGAATACTTTCCTTCCTATAAAACTTCTAACTTCTGCTTGGGACCTTAACTTGGTGCTTAGAGCTGTTTGAACCTATGGCTAACTGTTGCATCTGTCTATGAAGGTGGCATTTTTAGTAACCACCATTTCAGCACCCCAGTTGGGCGAGCTCGGAGCTCTTACGACAGACCCTCCATATACGATTTTTCATAAGGACAGGGTTATTGTCCATCTGCATCCCAAGTTTCTTCCCAAAGTCCCTATCTGCTTACCTATCATCTTTCCAAAACCCCACACTGATATCACTTGAAAGGTCTCAGGGTTTGCTATTTCCCAGCAAAGGCTATCCAAGTTGATATCAGAGTGCATTCGCCACTTACCACTGTTCTAATCAGGATCCCCCATCAGTGCTGCAGTTTCACTCCACAAGAGCAGTATTGACTTATGTGACCTTCCTTAAGAACATCTTTATAACCAACATCTTCAGTGCCACCACCTGAACTTCTGCGCATGCTTTTTCACAAAACATTATGCTTTAGAGACTTAGCCTCTCACACACAGTTTGGACACACTGTTCTGTCTATGATTAGGGTAGACATACTGAAGCTCTTTCTGCCAAGCACGAATATTGCTTCATAATTCCCTAGGTGGAGTACCCACAGGGACACTACTCAAAGGAGAGGAGAAGGTTACTCACTTCGTGCAGTAATTGAGATTCTTTGAGATGGTTGTCCTGTGGATGCTCCACCATCCACCCTACTTTCCATCTGCTTCAAACATCTCATTCTGGGCAGAGAAGGGACTGAAGGGTTGGTTCACTGTGCATGGGGTATAGCCGCTCCTAATGGCGTGTGCTGGCTGTCCTATGTGCGTAGCCCATTGAGGACACAGCTATCTTAATTCTCCGACTAGAAGCACAGCAGTGTTCAAATACCTAGGTGGAGCACCCACAGGGACAGCCACCTTGAAGAACCTCAATTACTGCCCAAGGGGAGTAACCTTCTGTTCATGGTGCTTCTGTGGTGTGGGACACAGACCAATTGCCCTGTTACCACCCCTAATGCTGGCCTTAGCTGTTTTGTTCAGAAAAACAGTTGTGGCACAGTGGGTGCAGAAAGAAAAAGGTTGAGTATCCATGGTGTAATGATAATTTTAAATGTGAAACTTTATACAAGAGAGGGCCTTTATGTAAAATCTGAAATGATTCCAACAGGAAACTACTGTCTTTTAGTGAATATACCCCACACCCAAATATACCCTGCGGTTTTTTCTTTTTTAGTTAAAAAAATCTTTTATACCCGCACACAAGTATAACCTGCG